TTGAGACTTAGCCACTTACAGGCAGACAGGTAGACAGTAATCGTGGGCAATTTGCTGCCAGTGCCGATATTTGAAAACGAAGAGGCGAGTCAATAGAAAGAGCAACGGCAATGGCAGAATTAAGCAGATTCTTGAAGCAGTAAAAAAGCATGGTGTATAGTCACTATGTGGCCCTATGTTGCTGATATATGATCATCATCTACTGGGATACTTGGATACTTTGTTGGAAAGAGAAGATAAGAGTAAAGTACTTGAGACTTCTTCGCCTGGTACAAGTTTGCAGTATGTAAGGATGCTTAGTTGTTTCAATAGGATAACCACATGTCATGTGGGATATTAATGATGAAGAGTCATGTAGCTCACGAGCAAGATTGAAAATCAGTCACTTACACGTAAATAGATAGACTGATGATGGAGATAACTATTTGATTATCCACTTTAGGAGTGCAAGACGCTAGAAGACAGAAAAAGAGGAAGAGGACAAGGAGACAGAATTTTGCCATCTAGACATTAAAACTTCTGCCGCAGGCTACTGAAGAGATTTGCGACACCTGTGGCTTCTCAGAAGGCTTGCCATCTTCACCTCTCACCTGTTGGTCCGCTGGAGGCTACTGAAGTGATTTGTGGCACCTATTGTTCAAGGCCCATGTTACCTTCACACTTACCTACTGGCCTAGTTACCAGAACATTCGTCTAGAAGGTTATGTGAAGAGGATGCTCCAAGAAGACGAAAAAGTTGAAGAGGAGAAGAAGACAGTTTTGGGGGATCATCTTTACGATAAAATCTTCACTGGGTGATGATTTTGAATTATGGCACCTGTGGTTGCCATGCCTACGTTACCTCCACCCTCACTTTCTGGCCTAGTTACCTTGTCGCGAGGTTATGTGAAGGGGATTCGCGAAGAAGACGACAAAGAGGAAGAGGAAAATGAGACAGCTTTTGGGGGATCATCTATACATTGTCAATGAAATCTCCACTGGAGGGAACTGAAGATATTTGTGACATCCGTGGTTTTAAGGCCTACTTTACTATCACCTCTCACCTACGCTATATTAGCCTAGTTTCTGCCAAACCTGTCCTGTTTAGAATCACGACTTCGGACTATTCTTTTTGCACTACATTGCATTTCGCATCCAAGCTTGTTCGTTGAAATGGTTTTAAGTCTACATACGTAGACACTCGCAACTAGAAAAAGCATTCCAATTCAGTGGTTTACTAGTATCTTTCTATATAATACCGGTACCTTGTATTGGCCGTAAGCGACGTTGAGAACAATAGAAACAAAAGCACCTGTAAGTCTTTGTGTTTTTTCATCCGAGTGTAACTGTAATAATTTTCTCTTTATACAGTGAAACCTGTACTGGTGACTGCATAAGAACAACTTGTTTGTTTGTTTGTTTATTTATTTAACCAGGAAAACATATCGCCTGATGGCGTTTTTCAATTGTTCCTGGGGGGGAAAACCCCGAAACAAAATCCATTAACAACAAAATCAGCTCAAAATTAACAAAGGTATCAAATGAAGTTACGCAAATTACAAATTGATACAAACTTTTTTGGTGGTCCCTTAGATTATATCTCCTAATGATACAAGCATTATGAATCCTGTCTATGGTGACCTTCTGTCTACTGTGACCATTTTCTAATGTGCCTAGAGGGTTTACCATGAACAGGTTTACTGTATCATGAAAGTTTATAAGTGTTGGTAGTTACATGTTTAGAATTAAAACTTTAGATCCAACACTCTGGTCTTCCGCAGTAGACTGTCTACTCCGGAAGACCAGAGTGAGTGGTTGAAAGCTCTAGGTGAGAGAACTTTTTGTGTTGGACCAAAAGTTTTAACTCTAACAGGGTTTACTGTATAGTTTTTCGAAGTGGGTTTTGTTCTTCAAACAGGCATGACTAAGAATGAACACAACAGTTGCACCAAACCGTACACTATGAGTCGTTAATTTCACACCAATAAGGCTGGTTATTATCCAGAATCTGCTCATCAATTACAGTGTCTCAAATTCATCGTTTCATTTTAAGAATTTGACAATATAGTGGAATCCTCATTTAACAGTTTTTTTTGTCTAAACGCCCATCGATTAGACAACTGAAGTGCTGTTTATCAATCCCCACTAGTGCATGATTAAACACAGGGCCTGTGATTACCACAACAAAGGCGGAAACTCATTTATCATTCTGAATTTTCCACCCACTTCATTCCACTTAGATATACACTCAACACGAAAAGTTTGGAAACCTGAATTTGCTCAATCCATGGTGACTTTTTACCTCCATGGTCAATCATATATATTCACAATCACATGTACTTTATCACTTGATTTGTATTATACTAATGGTATATTGGTGAAAAGCTCCGTGTGCTTCTGTCGAGTGTACTAGTAGACTAGTACTTTTAAATGTAGTGCTTCAATATCAGTACATTTTTACTATGATTAGTTATATGCCAGCCCTGATATTAAAAAAAAGCTACAATGATAATACATGCAAACCAGTTAGAGTTCTCCAACGTTAACCCCGATCAGGTCGAGAGCTTTGTTGGGGTTATATTAAGTCACAAAGTAACAGATACTGAATGTCCCTCCCCCAGTTTGACACATGAATCTGTTCTGAAAAAGCATCATACGAGATTTTGACCCTAACTTTAAAAGTGATTATAAATTCGTTATTGAAGTGTACTGAACGGGCATCGTCTTTCAAAACAGTCAAAATTAAGTTTGGGAACGTTTTTTTTTTTAAATCTCATTATGTGACTTTCCTGTTCCTAACATGTGGTATACAAGTGAACACAACATGAATCAACAATTACTGACGAAAGCTAGTGGATGCTACCTGAAACGTCTGACCGTTTCCAAAATCATACCCAGTTGCTTGAGTACCTCCATGGTACTAGTAATTTTTTTTTTTTGGCGTTGAAAATCATATACAGTTGCTTGAGTAACTGTTCTTGGCGTCTCTTATTACCTGGATGTCTAACTTCATCGACGAATTAAGAATCAACAACCACCTGTTGCTCACTCACCTGTCAAATCCTTCAGGAAACCGTCCAGCCGCCTCCTTAAAGTGTTCCGTATCTTAAAGTCTTCATGAGTACTTCAGGTGTTTGCTGTTGAATCGGCGCAGGTTGAGTTTTGGCGTGTCGCCCAGTGGCCCGTGTGGTACGTGTGTTGTCTTGTCCTTAATCTGGGACTGTGCATTGTTCGGGCAACCGGTTGAGTGGGGTTAAAGGTCACGCGCCGCCATCTTGATTTGTCGTACGAGTGGGGAACACGTTTGTCCCAGGGGCTTTTTTCAAAATATATATTCCAACATTTCATGACATATGGTGACGGCACACTCAAGTTATATCAACTTATTTTATGCCGCCACTAACGCAGAGGACGAATACAGGACAAGACAATACTCATTTTCACTTGAGTCAAGTGAGGAAAGTGCCTTTCCCAAGGGCACAACATCGGTGGCATCTCTTGGTTCCGAGTCGAGCACGTTGCCGCTATGCCATACGACCCCAGGGGCTTTTGTTCTACAGATTATATAGTGAGGAGGCTCCAACTGCTAATTAGGTTCCTTTATTTACCCGTTTTAATTGTAATCCTCTACTGACCTCGTTTCTTTTCTAGAATGTGAGGGTCACTTCAGGTATTTTATAATTCTTAACCTGTAGCCAGATCTTTATCAAACTACATGTAACAGTTAATTCTTGCCCTACCCCCAAGGTCAATAGAACTACTGACATGGAATGAACAAGGACACGGTTTTTTTAGAAAACGACTTTGACTTAACTTTAACAGTTTATATGTATTCTAATCTAATTTGAAAGTCCTATCATGGGATGCAGCTAATTTAAAGAAATTCCCGCTCTGTCAACACTGAGCTACTAGTATGGCCTCCAATTGAAATTTGCGTTTTAGTTCCGAAAAAAAAGCCGCTAGGGGGCCAAACCTACATCACATTCTTCACGTGGCCAAGGGCTATCTGCCACCCCAAAATCATTACCATATCATGTCCAGAACACGAGATATACAAAACGGAATTTCGGCTGCAATACCAAGGAAAGCCGCCAGGGGGACCAATATCTAATCATTTCTTCGATTTCTACCCACCTGCCAAATGTCCTGACATTCCATCCATAGTTCAGTTTGAGATATCGTGCTAAACCACATCGAAACATACATGTATAACGTTAACAAACTGAGGAATGGGATCAAAAAGAGACACGTCCGCACTAGTACTGATCGATGAGTTGAGCTCAACTAACTTTTTTTAAGCATTGGAACGGGATCGGCCGTTCGAACAGCCGCCGGTCCCGTCCGTTACACACTTATAGCGTAGTTTCAGATTCAGATTTAGCTTTATTGACATTGGTATGACATGTTCGATGACATTCAAAACATGAATTGAGCCAACATGTACAAATATGACAATATTTGAAATACACAGAGCAGATAAAAACTGCAACATTTTAAAATGCGATTTAAAAACCCTTTACACGGACTATATACATTATGTCCTAAAGTACAACTATTTATACAAAATTTGCATATCGTTAGGAAGCAGTAAGTTATAACATGGAGTTCCATGGTTGTAAGAATCAGTTGCCAGAGTGGTAGTACAGGATAAAGGACAGTTCATGTCTCAACTGATCACTTCTAGATACACATGGATTCAAACAAACCCTACCAAGAACATACTAAGTAACTGTCTAGACGCAGATGAAAGGAAGTCATGCATAATTTTAAAACTGTTTCGCTGTGAGTAATATCAAGCTCTAGTTCGCAGAACGCCACCTGAATACTTAATGAGCCGTCTTACCCGTCACCCACCGCTCTAGTCGTGACCCAGGAAGTAACTTCGCCTTTAGACAGAAAAGGGAGGTGCCGCGTTGAGATATGTACATGTATTCTATGCGCACTATCAGGCCTTAACGCTACGTTTTAAGGCGTTCATAACCCACAGTCTTCATTACAGGATCTTTAACGAAGTGTGCAACATGTTGAAGGTCTGTGAGAAGCTTCTCGAGGCGGACGTCAAGAGCAAGCGGCACGGCTTGGTGCGAACCGAGACAGACTACCTCCGCGCGTTACTGGAGGCCATGGCGGACATGGACATGGCGGTGGAAGTGGAGGCGCTCAAAACTCTGGGCGACGTGAACTTGGAGAAGGGACGTCGACTCCGCGGGAAAGGTGTGAAGTTCAAGGACAAGGCTATGGTGTTGTACAGGGCCGCCTTGCTCAGATGCCAAGACGAAGATGTGGCAGGAAGTCTTGAAAATCGTATCCGTTACGCAGAGAAACTATGTCTAGGCACCAAGGCTACAGCACCATTAATAACTCATGAGCCGAGTGCAACATGCAACAAGACGCCTTCGCTTGCCAAGGTGGCAGAAAAATTCATCATTTTGGACCAAAGATTCGCCAATGGTGACTACAAGGAGTCTTTGTTGATTGAATACACCAAGTTGGTGGTAGAAGGAATATCAAACGAGGACGGTATGTTGGAAGTGGAAGCCATTAAGAGTCTGGGTGACGTCTACATGAAAAGAGGAACCGAAACCAGAGACTTGACATGTCTGACCAAGGCCACAGCTCTGTACAACACGGCACTGGAGAGATGTGGGAGACTCCAGGGCAGGCAGGCACTCATTCACCGCTTACTGTACACCGCTAGAACCAGACAAGGACTTAAGGTATCAAAATGTTTGCGGTAGCGTTAATGTGTATACCTGTAAGTCATAATTCAGGAGGATGGCCTTATTTGTTGAGGTTAGACTGTCATTTCATTTATTTCGAAGTCTTTTAGCCCTGCAGGGCTAATCTTCCAAGGCTCAAACATTAATACTGTCATTGGGGGAGAATATGATCAGTTGGTATAATTCTTGTAAATGAAGATACATGTATTTTTGCATAATCAATGAGAAACATTTATAATTTGTCAGTCATAAACGTTAAATCATTTGGCTATGAGGTATGAGATCGTGGAACTCTAGATCTAGTTTTTACATTATGTGTTATGTGCACGTGGTGCTTCAAGCATCTTTTCTCTAAGTGCCCCGTCTCTTCTTGTTGTGTTTGAATATTCGAAGGTTTCGAAGCGCAGACGGAAACATCTAGTTGACTTGCCGCGGGGCTTTCCTGTTACCATGGCAACTACTGACGCCATCCATGACGATAAAGGTCAACATTTCATGTAAGCACAGCTACTGTAGTATTGCAGGTTTTGTGATTAGACGTAGTGTATTGGGGACTTTTAGGTTACACAAAAGCCCCCAAAGCACCAAGAAGTGGTGTATTCAGCAAGCTTATGTTTGCATTTTTAATAATTGTTGGGCTCAAGCACAAAAGTAACAGATTGTCAGTGATCTGACAGAATCGACGATTCTACCTTCAATGACCTGAACCAGACGCCTGTCACCATGGTAACTAGTGTTGGGTTACATCATGTTGCAATTTTAAAGCAGGAGGGATTTAGACTCCTGTCTGACCATATATATGAATGTGTTTGGGTAAGAATTAACAGAGAAGGCCATATGCGAAGGTAAACATTATGCATTTGCTTTGCAAACATCATGTTACCTTTCTAGTATACATGTATATAACTTATTACGTTTTAATATCTAAAATATTAATAATCACCTGTCACGCTGTAGGTCTTGCGATGATCACCTGACGGAAGGGGACCGCGCACTGGCTGATGGGAAGCTGGACACTGCAGAAATGAAGTTTGCGTCAGCCCTGAGACAGATTCACGGTTTGTCATTTTCACAGCTGCATCTTTATGTCATCTTTCATAACATCCAATGGGCTGCGAGAAGAGTATACTTACAAACGAACTCCTAAACTTGATGATGTATATTTTGTAATATAGAAATATGTAGAAACTTAGTGAAGCACAATTTGTTCTCGAATGCTCAAGGGAGAAGAAGCATGTTGATTATAGATGTACAGAAGCTATTAGCATAGTATTCTTATTGTATTTTGAGTGTCTAACTTTATGTAATGAGGATAATCTAACTTAATGCATTTATCTTATTCATGCATTATGTAAGAAATGTCAATGTGACATTAGCCTGACATTAGCCCACCGAAAAGTCACCAAATGTAATATTAATTGCTACAATGTAGCCAAATATGCTGACCAATTTTACATTTCTGTACACATGCAGATCCCAACAAACCAGACCGCAGCAGGGAGGCCCACTGTCTGCGCAGACTCGGTGACGTGTACGTCCAGAGAGGCAAGAGAACGGAAGAGGGGAGAAAATTCACCCAGGCAGCAGCCCTGTATAACGCAGCCATGGCCAGAACAGACAAAGGTACAGACACAATACAGGCAAGCTTACGGGACGCAGAGAAATGGTTTCTTCATCACACAGCACATGTGGACAGCAACCAGAGTCTTCCTGATTCGGCCATGCTTCACCAGAAGCGACTAGAAGACTTGCGCGCGCGCGCCAAGTCACAGCTAGAAGACATAGATCAGAAACACAATCCGTATCGGTATGATGAAGATGACCCTAAGATGATACCAGAGGAGGCTGAGCGAGCTGAAGCGGTCAAGACTCTGTTCAAAACCATCGCCAAGGATAGACAGACATTTATCCGGGCACTAGTTGACGAATGCATCGCCACGCTCGGCCCTCCTCCGTGTAGGTACGCTTTCATCGGGTTGGGATCACAGGCAACAGAACTGGTGACGCCGTACTCCGACCTGGAGTTCGCCATTCTGACTGAGGAGGGGAAGGATGATGATGATGATACACGGAGGTACTTCCTAAACCTTACCCACTACCTACACCTGAAAGTCATCAACCTGGGAGAGACCATCCTCCCAGCCATGGCCATCCCGTCACTCAACGACTTCTACTCCGAGGACCCGGAGAAAAACTGGTTCTTCGACTCCGTCACGCCTCGTGGGTTCTCCTTCGACGGCTTCATGCCGTGGGCTTGTAAGACACCTTTTGGAAGAGACAGAACCAAGACGAAAGAACCGGTAAGTCTCATCCAGACTCCTGCTAAGATGGCAGAGTTTCAGCAGCTGGAGGTTGCCCTGGCAGAAGGATATCACCTGTCAGACATCCTCCGGCGGTTTGCATTCTTAGCTGGTGATGAGCCCTTGGTGAGAGAGTATCAGGAAAGGCTCAATGAAGTCGTCACAAATGATCTCGTTTCCGATTCCAAGTCCCGATTTTCCGCCATGCAGATCCTTCAGGAGAACAGAGAGATGTTGTCCGCCCGGGAACCCACCGGAGAGCTGCTCAACGTCAAGAAAGACATCTACCGTTTTCCCGGCATAGCGATGGAGGTTCTGGCCCTGTGTTGTCAGGTGAACCTGGCTAGTACGTGGGCTGTGATAGACAGATTGAGGGAGACCGGACAGGCACAAGAAGAGAACGCCGCCCACCTCACGGTTCTGACCGGTATCTCGGCAGAGCTACGACTCAGAACGTACATGGCCAACGGGGGACAAAAGGACAGCCTGTCGCCTCTCGCAGAAATGAAGTTTCAGTCAAAGTTGGAAGATATCTCTGACAAAACCCTGAAGTCAGAATTCCACATTCCGGACACTCAGATTCTGTTCCGGTACTACTGCAGAGCTATTCCACTGAAGAAGTGTATACCGGACATTGTCCAAGACGACTCGCAGGACCAATCGAGAAGAAGAAGAAGAAAAGGAAGAAGAAGAAAATGTGTGTTCAAAACTACCATCTTTGATACCTCCCATCTATGCAGGGGCCGAATAGCGAAGAAATTATTCCAGTCAAGCAAATGCATTAAGCACTACGAAGCAGCATTAAAAGAGGTCGGTGGTGACATGTTTTCACGCTCGGTAATACTACTTGAATTAGGGCAATACTTGGCAATGCATGGTGATATCATCAAGGCAATGCGCTATTTTGAAGAGTCAGAAAGGATACAAAAAACTACCTTTTGTAACAACACATTCATAGCAAATCCAGCAGCCGCACTACACAGTTTGGGGTTATCTTCGGGTATAATGGGCAACCCGAGGAAAGCTATTGGCTACTTTGAACAGTCACTAACGGCATGTAAAGCTGTTTTGGGCGATGGAACCCCACACCCCGACATTGCTGCGGCACTTTCAAACCTTGGAAATTGCTGGAGTGATCTAGGCGATCACCAAAAGGCAAAAAGGTACTTCGAACAGTCATTGAAAATGAGAAAAACTATCTATGGAGAGACGCCACATGAGCACATTGCCAACTCACTTGGGAGCCTTGGATACTCTTGGAGTAGTCTTGGCGATGAAAAGATAGCACTTGACTACTACAAGCAGTCAATAGCTATGTATAAAACTATCTATGGACAGAACACCATTCATCCAGCCATTGCTTTGGAACTTAATAACCTGGGATTGTGTTACAGCAATCTCGGCGATCAGAAGAAAGCGGTTAGTTGCTATGAACAGTCACTTATGATGAAGAAAGCAATCTACGGAGTGACCACATGCCATCAGGACATCGCAATGTCCCATCACAATGTCGGACTAACTTGGACTAAGCTCGGCAACCACAAGAAGGCAATAATCTACTACGAAGAGACATTAACGATGTTGAAAGCTGTCTATGGAAAGAAAACGCCACACCCTGAAATTGCCATCGTACTTTACAACATTGGGGAATCTTGGAGACTATTAGGCGATCACAGAAAAGCCGTCAGCTATTTTGAACAGTTCATAGCGATGAAGAAAATCATCCATGGAGGAGACGTAGCGCAGCCGAAAATGGTTATGGCATTCAACAACCTGGGATCGTGCTGGAGTGAACTAGGCGATGAGCGGAAAGCAATCAAGTACTTTGAACGCTCGCTGAGAATGGCGAAAACTATATACGGAGAAAACAACGCACATCCACACATTGCCAAGATACTCCACGAATTTGGGCAGGTATGGCGTAAATTCGGCTATCCAGAAAAGGCTAGTGAGTATGAGAAACAGGCACGGTGTATGGTGATGTGACTTCGTATCAGTACTAGTGGCAATCTACGACTCAAAATCCGCCCGCAAAAGCTCATTTGGTGAAGGTATACAAAAAAGGTTAAAAGTATACCAGGTACAAGTATATAGAATTATTTGTGCTGTTGTAAATATTTCCATAGCTTTTATTGATGTATATAATGTATACTATTTACTCACATGTACGTAAGTAATACAATTTTTGTAAGTTAGTCTTATGTCACATATGAGTATGAAGGCACACCAGTTTTAAATAATTCATAATGAAAGTACAATGTATTCTAAAACATTTGTTGACATTTTTGTTGATGAATACATTTGCTTTTATACATGGTGCTCAACACCATTTTCATTACACATTTAAAAGCAATTAAAAATATACATGTATATTAAGAATCTGGATTTGCCTGCTTATCAATTCTACTACATGTATCATAAAAGCTTGTAGGGGGCAAAGCACCTTAGTGCGATCATTCATACATTCATCTATTCGTTCCTTTAGTTGTACTTCAAACGAAAGTGCATAATCATTTCAACTTTTGTATCATTGTAAAAAGAAGTACACGGCAATTTACAGAGATACCATCAACCAAAGTCAAATTTCCAAACTGTTTTGGGCCAGTTAACTTTCAGGTCAGTCTTGAGACCACATACCCAAATGGTGTAGCATTGTATCTTATCTAGCTGTATCCTTTAAAATTATGTTTTTTAGCACTTAACACTTTTGCTTGGAAGTTGGAACCTAGCCATATAATCAGAGGTGGTGCTTAAAGCAGAAACTGGTCTGTATTAGCACGTCATCAAAACGTACTGTGCCTGCATGAAACCATTCACGGTTTTCGTCAGATTTTTGGTCAACGTTGCATCAGAATTTGTAGAGGATATCTTTACCGACACAACATTTGAAAACTACAGATAGGATGTTAACATTCTATACGCAAATACGACCTCTCAAATGAGACGTTCTGCCAAAGTGCGATGTACAGGGTTACAGGGTTTTGCGCAGGTGCAGTACATTCTGCCGACGTGCTGTCTGTGTTTACAATCAGGCCAGTCTTGAGACCACATAGCCCAGGTAGGTAAGAAGCAGCAGCAGCAACACCAGGACCAGGATGGCAGAGTACAGGATGAACTCAGTCACGGGGACGGAACGGACGACCTCCGCGGCGCGATCCCACCTCCCTGGCCCCTGCAGTCTCCACTGGGCAGCCCCGCAGCTACCCAGCAGCAGCCTGGAACAAAGGCACGATTTTTGATTGACAGTTCAATGGAAATCATACACACACATGCACACACACACATGCATGAACGGACACACATGCACATACACATACACATGCACACACGCACGCATGCACACACAGACGCACACACACATACACACACAAACACATACACATAGACACACACACACGCACACACAAACACACACACTATACACATGTACGCGCACACATGCATGCATGCACACACACACATATGCATGCACACACACATGCAAGCAAACACACACACAGTGTAGGCACACACACACATACTGTAGGTACACACACACATGCACACACACACACACATGCACACACACACACATGCACACACACATGCACACACACACACACACATACCTACCTAACTACCTAGTCCCATGACCGACGATCGTTGGGGGGACAAGGCAGACCTTGTAACAGAGGTGATGCCAGCTCTATCTGTCTTGGGCTTCTGTCACACTCATACACACGTGTATATACACACAAATGTATAGTCTCACACATACACACACATACATACACACAAACATACAATTTAAATAAGGTAAACTTTAGAAAACTTTAATGCTGTCCCACCTCCAGGCCAGCCTCGGGTGCCTCCAGATCTGCGGTTTGGCCCCGAACTGTGCTGCGATGCTGTCATTATACAGTAGTGGGTCCTTCTGGATGGTGTGACGGGCAGACGCAAAGTACCTTTTGGCCGTCCTCTCCTAAAACAGAACACGAAGAACAGCTGAAGTTTTAAGCTTATTGTGAATCAAAAATAAAGTCAAATTAAAGATAGACCCGGTTGAACAATTACAGATGCTCTCCTAAAACCCATGACAACAGAACAGAAAGAATAGGTTAAATGTGAGGCTACTTGTGGATCCAACTAAAGTTAAGTCAAAGATAAACCAGTTGAACAAGTACAGATGCTGAGATACAGTAACAGGAGACTGTTGATGCCAGATAGATATTTATAAAGAACCCAACACACTATAATATCGACAAGACTAGAGTTGACACTTTAAGATACTTAAACTAAACTGAGGAGCTGACCTGGTGTGCTTGGCTATAAACACAAAATATACACATGTAGCAAAGCTGCATTGCCTGTTAGCTACTTCATAATTAATCAGGTGAGCATGACTTCTCTCCTTTCTACTCACCTCGTCATCTCTGATGTCTGCCTCCATGGCAGCCCTGTTTGGCAGCTTGACGTGGTTCAGACACAGCTCGGCGAACCACCTGGCCTGGGTCTCCGACATGCTGAGGATCCCGCCGGACGCCGGCTGGACAAAACCGATGAATGCCAGGCTGGACCCCACGTCCGGGCAAAACACGTTCTTGTACAGCTGCAGTGGAAGGTAAAAAAAATACTGCCTAGAAAGGTAACATTTGCAAAGCATTATCAGTATATTAAAGTGAAGTAAGTATCAGTATATTATTGTTGGCCTTATCATGATCTAGCGTAACGCACTACTGCTCTGCTTGTTCATAACATGGTGTACATTACCGTAATTCAGCACCAGTGACCATGTTGACAGCATTCTGGTCCAGGTCATTGAATATGTTTATCAATTTTTGAGATGTGTGTAGTCCCTAGAAACATGGGCTGATTTTCAATGGCGCCCAGAATAGAAAATATGGGCTGGTACTGACTCAAACCATCTGCCTCTTGGGCCCAAAGCAAGATCCCTTACCACTATACTCTGTATGCTACATGTACATATACATTACAGTCCTACAGTCACCTTGATGCTGTTGCTTCCCTCCTCCAGCACTTTTTCCTTGACATCATCCGGCAGGAAGGGTAGAGACACCCTGAAGCCTGTACACATCACCACATGGTCCACTACTGCCGACGAACCATCTGTAAAATGGACTGTGCTTCCCTCAAACCTGAATAGACAACAGAAAATCACTTTCTCCACTTTGTAATACTTATCATATCTTACATATGTTGGAAAATTGACATACCGGTACTTTGTAATACATGTATATTTTTTGTTGGGGTTAGGTTAGGGTAAGGGTAAGGGTTAGGGTTAGGGTTAGGGTTAGGTTTGGGGTTGGGGTTGGGTTAGGGTTTGTGTTAGGGTTAAGGATTAGGGCTAGGGTTCAGGGTTAGGGTTGGGGTTAGAGTTGTGGTTGGAGTTCGGGTTAGGGTTAGGGTTAGGTAGGGATTGGGGTTGGGGCTAGGGTTGTGGCTAGGGCTAGGGCTAGGGCTATAGGGCTAGGGCTAGAGTTAGGGTAACAGCTAGACCCCCCTGTACCTTGTGATGTTGGGTTTGATGGTGACATTGTTGCGCTGTATGTTGTGGATCAGGGTGGGGCTAACAGTGGGCTGGGTCTGCAGAGCTCGCATCTTCGGGTTCAGGCCCCATCTGCAGTAAACAACAAGACAATCAGAGGTGGCAGACTTCACCCCCTTATCCATCATAATCCTATGTTCCAACACCCCTATGTTCCAATGCCCCTATGTTCTGACACACCTTCATGTACGTCCTGATGCCCCTATGTTCCAACATAGCGTTTAAGGGTTTCTGAAAATAGTTTCATCAGGTGGGTAAAAGTATAGGATACAGGAGTTTTCTTTTACACAACCAAGAGTGTTTACCAAATGTATGCACATAAAAAACGTAAGCAAGGTAAACAATCTTGGTTGTGTAAAAGAAAACTCCTGTATCCTAGGGTTAGGGCTGTTTCTTGCTCTTATGTACTTTATTCTTAAAGAAAAATTTTCCAGCTACACAATGAATGAATGAACTTTATTGCTCAACAATCGTACAAGGTACAATGTATGGCAGTAATACAACTACAACTACAAAACTTTACTTACTACAAACTACTATCTAATCAGTATTTGAGTTACTACATGGTCATGTATTGATGATATGTTCTCGCATCAGATTCTATTCTCAGCACCGACCTGTAAGGGCTGCCATGGATGAGCGTCACCACGGTTTCCAGGACGTTTGTGGCCAGTTTCCATGGTAACCAGAGGAAGGTGCGGCAGGCGTAGTGGTCCGTGGGCCGGCCGAACACGTAGTTGGGGAGAACCCAGGCGCCGGACCGCGTACTCAGGTACACCTTACGACACCTATATATGGAAAAAATAAAGGAAAGTGATTTCTATCAAGTTCTAAGCTGACTGAAGAACTCAACAAGTTGTTCGGTATGATAGAGGCAGCTGCCATGCCGCATGCCTGCAAAGCTGGTATGTTACTAGTATGCCAAAGGGTGGTTGTACTGATACAGATTTACTCTTAAGCTGATTGTGACAGAGATATTCAGTACAATCAAATTCAATACAAATGTGTTTCATTTTCCTGATACCGGTAATGCACATTACAATTAGACATGAATCAGGAACATGCACAAAGTTATTGTTAGAAATTGTGTATGGAAGAGAATGACCGTAGCTTATTTATATCAATGGTCAGTGGATACGGTGCCCATGAAAGACAATGAACCAGACACAAAATGTAGCAATGGTAGTTGATACATGCCTTCCCACTGTAGCAGCGTCCACTGCCACATCCACTGCACTGTTGCCGATCCCCACCACCAGTACCCGCCCCCCCACCAGCCGGTTAGTGATCGGGTCTTTGTAGTCTGCACTGTGAATCAGTTCACCTGCACCACAAATGTACAGACATGAGTTTTAAAACATCCTAAGATGTTGTTACTATATGAACATGGAATTCCGTATTTGTCATAAAATGTATGGGCCTCGTCATTGAGGCCTTGAAATTTAAGATTTTCTTGATCTGAGGTCTGAGAACTACTACAGCTACTAGAGAACTAGAGAACTAATACAGCTCTTCAAGACAGGACTGTATCAATGAATGTTTTGCAGTGGTTAAGCTATAAATTATTTCATAAACTTTCCCTATGCCAAGGTTGTCTTTGCATCTGTATTTAAAAAGTACTAAGAAGACTTAAGAAGTAGTGGTCCAGGAATAAATTTGTGTCAAGATCTGAAGATGAAGAGGATACTATAATGTTGTTGACCTACCTTTGAAAGTTTCTTGTCCAGGAAACTTTGCGAGGCTGGGGGTCACATGATGCCCTGTTGCTATGGCAACAAACTTGGCGACGTACACCTCCTCCTCCCCCGTGGACCATCCTCCCTTCCCATCATCCTCTACTCTGGTTGCCGTGACTACCCATTTGTCATCTGGAGAAAGAGGAAAAAATCAACATTTCTGTTAACTGTTGTGTGATAAATTATATTTAACTCGTAAGTGTAAGGAGAAAAATCTTATATTTTATAATAAAAAATTTTGAAACTGTGGAGGATTGTGTGATGTAAATGTACTGATTATTACATTGTTTATTACACCATACAACTGTTGCTTGTTGAAAGTGAAACAATGAGACTGACAAGTCGGTCCAGGAGGACTCAAATCCCGGATGCAAAGAAATGTCGAAAAATTGATTTTTGGATTGCTCTGATCCTGCAATTAAGTCCTTTGATCCAACCTTGTGTGAGCCGTAGCGAAGCTGCACTGCACAAGCATAGCTAATAGAAAAAGCATGATGAGGATGACTAAACAGAAACAGACCCAACCTTTTCTTTCGATCTTGTTGACCTGTGTCTGGAAGCTGATGACGTTGTTGATGCCGAAGTGCATGACGTAGTCGGTGATGTACTTGGCCATGTGGGAGTGGTGAGGATAGTCTGGGACATCGTCTGGGAACGGGAAGTCAGAGAAGCAGTAGTTGTGCTTCGAGACATTTCTAGAGAGAGAAGTACGAAAATACAATGTATGGTTTTAAGTGCACTGCCGCCTGGCAGAAAATTGAGATCGGGGCTAGATAAATCTTTTGGTGACCGCTAAAAACAGTATCAAATTGGCCAGGCATTATCCATTAGCCAGACTGTACCCATTGGCACTCTTTTGGCCAATGAATACTGCCTTGCCACCATATGATCTGCTTGGAGATTATTTCTGAGGGTTGGCGGAAAAACCTGTCCAGTCCAAATAAGGGGCTCTAGATATACACAAAACCCCACAATGCAGCCTGGTGACCCAAGCACTTCCATACCTGGATGTAACAAACAAACAAACAAACAAACAAACAAACAAACAAACAAACAAACCCAGAGTAACTCACATGTGAGTACATCTCATGACCCCGTAGCCGACCTTGTCTCGGAACGTCCACAGCCCGCCGACCTCTCCCGTACGTTCCAGAACTTTGACCTTTAACCCCACATCCAGGAGGCATTTGGCTGTAACCACACCTGCAAAGAAAAAAGTTTCAAAATTTAACTCCTATATCTAAACTAGATGTAGTCCAGAAATGTATTGCACATCATTTCAAAGATCAAGAAATTATAAAACCCACTCATTATGCACAACATGGGACCACTGCATATTATCCACTGCCTTCAAAGATTGAGGCATACCCAATAATAGTAAGTGTAGTACCTTACAGTTGATCGGACAGTGGCTGTGTGTACTTTATTACTTATCCTTTACTTTGACACTGTACATGAAATTAATCCTGACTTTAAAAATAAAATTTATTAACACTCCACTGGTCCAAGAGTCACCATGTGTAATGCCTACCTGATATTCCTGCTCCAATCACCACAACATCAGTTTCTGAGGTGGCAGCCATGTTCCTACTGCCACTGAAGACACAAACACACCTGATCATGAATAGGGAAACAAAATCATTTCCTAAGGGATCACCTAGACGGACAAAGTGGTCCTTTATAATTCAGGCTACTATTACTAGTACTGGTATTGTACAGTTAGACTTTGATCCAACACATAGAAACAAAACAAACCCTCCAAATTTCCCTATGACCTACAACATATTAAGTAATAGGCTTCCCTAGGCCTTAAGCTATAGCTAAGGGTCGTACTTAACTGATTGAGAGCCCAGTTTCTAACAATGCAAGGACGTTATGTTAAAGTCCCTTGCATGCAGCCTTACCTGTGACTTCTGTTCTCGTTCTATACCCTAGATCCGGCACCAGCCACACGTGCGGTACGTGCCGAGCCTGGGATCAGCGAGCTAGGCACACATGACTTTTGGACCTGGGGACCTAGGTGTAAAGATCGTCTAAAACAATTATGAGTA